GTGCCCCAAGATGAATTTGAGTTTAGTTTATAAGATAAAGAGCTTAGCACCGAGTGCTCTCAAGAAGGATTTTCTAACACTAAAGATAGAGAACTTAGCATCGCAATGCTAATTCACAAATGCTATAGCGCTCTAAAGTAAATTTTTTAAGACTTGGTTCTTAAACTTATAAAGTGAATTTGCAACTTTCTATGACCAAGTTTTAAGATGAAATAACTCAAGAAGACTCATAGAGATTTAACAAATCTATAATAAGCTTATAAATTATTCGGATTGCACATGAACTCAGTGTTGTAGCAAGGCTTGTTACATGCGGCTTCATTAATCCTTTGAAAAATGACAACTTAAACCTCTAAAACATCCATACGTGTTTATCTTCGATGTCTGCTTATAAGCATTTTTCTCTATGTATAACCCATCAACTAAGCTACAAAATTGAAAAATTACATCATGGGATCCAATAACATAGCCTGTACTACATTTAATACTAGTAATATATAACTAGAGTTTTATTTAATAGTTATTTTTTGTGCCTGGAAATCCATATATAGGACGAACTTTTATTTGGTCCGGTGAAAGAACGTAGAGCTACGTTCGGCCGGCACTAAATCGCGCCATGTAGCAGGCACAAAACCACGTATTTGTCGATCGGCAATAACGAGAAATACCATTATGTTAAGACAAAATATCGAGCAATACCGAGTAATACCGAGCAACACCGAGCAATAACGAGTTTTTTCTAGAAAAACTCGGTATTGCTCGGTATTACTCGGTATTGGTCTTCACATAAAGGTATTTCTCGTTATTGCTAGGCAATACCTAACAATACCGAGCAAATACCGGGTAACTCAGTGGTGACTGGATGTAGAGCTACGTCCGGTCACCGGACCTAATAATTGTTCATATAGGACCGACCACAGCCACAACAACCTTACTCTTAAATAATCAGTTAGAATAACTTATATTGATGTATATGCATACATGAGAAAAAAGAAAAATCAACCTTAAAACTACATACACAATTTATACTTTCCATCTCATAATCAGTTTTATGGACCTGTACATAATTAATTTCTCCAAAATTATGACTTTAATAATCAATTTCATGGACCTGTACAAGCATTTATGCCATCTATTTATGCTATTACAATGTAATGAGGATTTAATAAAATTCATTGAATAATTAATACTAAACAAAATAGGATATGTGCCTCAAAAGCAATAAATACCTTGAAAATTTTAATATGATAATGGTAACATATGTAGAATAAATAGGATACCAATATACTATAAATTACACTAAAAAAATTATCAAATTATTATGATATCTTAATTTTTTTTTAAATCTGATCAAATAAATTTAATAAATCAAAAGAAAAGTAAAACCTTCCAAAATAAAGATTGGATGACTAAAACCTATCTTATGCCAAATAATTTTTTCAACCGACATGTCTCATAAAAATAACCTTAAAACCTCCGAATCCTACTTTTCTCTCTTTCTCTCTCTTTCTCTAGTACTCTCCCTTGCTTCTCTCCATAGCCTACACATGGAGGAATGAGGCAAAGGAGTATGCTTGATTCTTTATCTCTCCATAGCCTACACATGGAGGAATGAGGCAAAGGAGTATGCTTGATTCTTTTTATAATGTTTATATTCAAAAATAAAAGTAAAAGTTTAGTTTTTATTTTTTATTTTATATAAATTCTCTTAAACTTTGAAATTTGTAACTCCCAAAATTACGATAAAATAGTCGATAAATGCTACAATATGTCTAGAATACATTGATAAAAATAATTTGTAAAATAGAATTCAAATGGTTCCCAAAACTCTAATTTTATGAAGACATGAGAATTATCTAAGAAAGAAAAAAAAAATTGATGCCTCTTATCTTTATATTTACAATGCCCATTTATGTACATGGTAATTGTGTTAAGTTTGAAGGTCACTCAACTTGATGGATCTCTCTCTAAGAAAGTCCATCATTATAATTATTATTGGATAGCAACAACACATGATATAAATATAAGAGTTGCCAATTATATGGGGTCATTTTCTCATTAACCAATTCAAAGCTTCATCCTTTGACTTCCTCATGATAGTTATGGCTTGGGCAATTGGACCATTTCTTTTACTTTGGCAATACTAGCATTTATAAATCCCAATTTATTACTTTACAAAATGGGCTAAGAGTGAATTTATTACTTTACAAAATGGGCTAAGAGTGAAATTGGTGCCACATGCAGTAATGGAGATGTCCATCAAACTCATATGATCAAACACATTAATCAAAATATTATAGGCTTCGTTTGGGATGACTTTCTTACTGCTTCTTAAAGCAGCTTTTTAGTACAAAATTTTTAATTTTTTAACTAGGAAGCTGCTTTAAGAAGCAGCAAGAAAGCCATCCCAAACTAAGCCTTATACAATGTTTATTGTTTTTCATAATAAGTCTAGTAATGAAAACTAAGCCAGTTTTAGAAACTTGGCTTCGTTTGGGACCTTTCGTAATTCTCCGTTCCAATTTTCAAAACCATTGTATTATAGATTACATGAATTTTAACATTTAGACTAAAAACAAATACAAATTGAGCTCCATTGGTTAGAGGATCATTGTCATGTAGCGATGGTAAGAAGTTTGCAGTAAGTTTAGAGGATTATAGTCGATTATGACAGTCAAGAGATTATGGCTTGGCCAAGGTAGTAAGAGAACTGTTATGCGGAGCTCGTAATAGGGCAATGATTATTCAATAGCCATAAATAGGCTATGGTGGTCATAAGGTATTCAACAATATAGGTCAATGGTGGCGGTCCGATTGTAATGATTGATCGACTACAATTAATGGTAGAAATTTAGTGATAACAACCAATGGCAGAGATCGAGTCACATTAATCTAGGGTTGTATGTGAGTCAAACTGACTCGTGAGCCGACTAGGGCTCGGCCCTATAAATGTCTTATGAGACGAGCTGGATAAGCTACCAAGCCAAGCTTGAGTCGACTCCAACTCGACTCATTATCTCGCAACCTGCTCATTTAAAAAATATTAATACAAAATATACTTAAAATATATTAAGATTCATGATTCTAAGTACAAAACTGTTGAAAATATTTGAAAATTATATTCATTTTCTATATTAAATGACTTTATTTTTTATATAATTTCTCTTTCTTTTATCATTTTTTTATAGTAGTTTCTTAAATCATAATCATTTTCTCTTTCATAATAAACAAGACGGCTCATTAGCCAACTCAAACTCATTGAATGAAGCTCAAGCTTGAGCTCAAACTCAATTAACTAATCAAGCTCAAGCCAAATGTGACTCTAGCTCCGCTCAACTCATTTACACCCCTACGTTATCCTAAATATTTATGGTTCATCAGTGACGGTTGATAGTGAAAGTTAGATGGTGAAGATTAATAGGTTCAAATCAAAAATAATTTTATGGCTATAGTTGATCGGCAATACCTCTTTCATACATGTTGATATAATTGAATAATACTCTAACAAAAAACTTCAAATCAACCAAAAATTTTTATTGAATTTCTCTCAACTTTATTTACACATTAAAGTCATCGAATAATGCTCGGACATATAATCTCTAAATATGTAAAAAAAAAAAATTGTAAGTTTCTCTTGACCTTTCTCGCTAAAGTTAACATCATCGAGTAACATTGACAAACAATCTCATATAAATCAAATATTATTTGTGAAACCCTCCAAATATCTTATACCACAAGTTTTGGGATGGCACCAAGAAAAACTTTCAAAAAAGTTTTCATAATTTTCCTTCTCACAAATAAAGAACTTTCTTAAAATTATGATACTAATGAAGCATGTCTTATGACATAATGTTAATCATGCTTACATACAAAAGAAAAGATAAGCAATAATATAAAAGACTTGACCTTCATTTATGATAACTTTTGACCCTTATTTTTTTTATTGTTTTAACTAAAAATTATTATATAAAATAGTAAAAGCTATACACCATTTGGGATGATTTTTTTAATTCTTTCTAAAACAATTTTTTAATAAAAATTTGCTTCAATTAAAAATTTTTTATAGTCAAAGCTATTCATTTGAGACAACTTTCTTACTACTTTCTTAAACAACTTTTTAATATAAAAATTTTTAATACAAAAGATTTATATACTAAAAATTAATTTTTTACAACTTTCTAGTAGAAAATTTTTTAATTCAAATATACAAAAAAATTGTTTAAAAAACCAACAAAAACAAATCCAAACAAAACCTTAATCTCCAATGAGCCACAGATTCAAAAATCAAAATTATTATTACACAAATTTTGAGATTATATTAATAATCAAAATTACTTTTAAGAACTTTAAATATATTCAAACTTTATATCAATATATAAAAATACATACATTCAAAAAGTTAACAAATACAAATCTTATCTCAAAGACAGCATACAAAATTATTGAATCTACATAATATCAATACTCTTCATCAATATAACCGAAAATTTCTAAAGTCTTATATACCCTTCAAACTACCACATCAGCTTCCAACAAACTGTCCCTTCTCCTCTAAAGTTTGTTATAATTTTTAAAAATCTTGTTTTTAGTTGTTTTTTTTTTTTTTTTTTTGAAAAATACTTTCTCACCGTCGTGATTTACCATATCTTTAATTTCAATTGAAAGGGAATGAAAAAATAAAAACAAAATAAATAAAATGTCAAAGCAATAACAAAAGAAAAGCATATCCTTGATTATCTACCATAATTAACTATTTGAAAAACTTTCTCAGCAGCAAAAAAAAAAAAATTATCCTAAACGAAGTCTAGCACTCTGTTCATCAAATAAACTTAATTACGAACGCTTTAGCAATGCCTCAAGAGCAGGATAAAAATTTGAGAATAACACACTAAAGGGTTCATTTGGATACTTCTAGATTGAAAATTTAAAAAAAAAATAATAAGTTTAAAAATAATATTTTAAAATGTTTTCCAAACTTCTCTTTCAAGCGATCAAATTAGCACAAAAATTAATCCAAGCTCTATTTATTTACTTCTGCAAGAATCATTAAAACAAGAGTCCCAAAATCACACGAAGAGTTACCAGTTCTAAATCTTAAAATAAGCAATAAAATCCTTCTCTAAACAGCAGACTTCTAGCCAAAGCTATCAATCCAGAACATGACTACCAAGCAGATCGCCAATAGTAATAAATTAGAGAGTTCGAAAAATAAGAAATTTAGCTAAAATACAACACTCTTCTCCAGCCTACTAAGTTATTTTTAGCCTCAAAATTGTTTAAAATAAATACCTTTTGAAACCCTTTAAGCCTCGAAAAACAACTTCTTAAGAGGACTTGAGCTTTGCAGATGTTGAAGCAAGGTGGGAGAGAGTCCGATGGCCCACAAAAACCAGGAAAGGACCGAGGAAACAAAGGGCCTTCAAAGCGGTGAACAGATCCAACTGTTTCATTGAAAGGGAGCAATGAGAGTCTTAAGATTGGTTCACAACTTGGCATAAAAAATTAATGAGAATGAATCTCAAAATCATTAAATTTACTTTGAAATAAATGCAAAATGTAAGCAATTAATCAAAGTTTTGTTTCAATTTTTTTCTCTTATATGTAAATAGCACAAACCTTCAACCAGAAAAGCCCATAAAGCAGAAGAACAGCTGCAATGCCGGCATGAAAAAGAATGCTAAATGCAGCAGGGCCAGGGGAAGATGGGAAGAACTTCAGGTTTACTCCCAGTCTTATCAGCTGCAAAATATACAATGTTATAATTTTTTATTATGTGCAATTCAAAAATCATTAAACATGACCCGATGAACCGGTTATGAGAATAGATGTATTAGATCCGGCCCATAATAAGAAATGTAGTAGCGGATCTAAAATGGTTAAAAAGTATTAGGAATGACCTTTTTTTATTTGATTTAAATGAGAATTTTATTCTTAGTAGGATACAATGGAGAAAAAAGAATTCATGTAATCAACTCCCTATAGTAGGATAAAGGCTTGAGGTTGTAGTTGTTATACTATTAAAATGTCAAGAGCATTACTAGTTTATTAAAAAAAAATCTGCTAAATACTAAATGGAAAAGCTGGTTCCATGGTTGAATTTTTTTTTCCCGAAATGCCCACTTCAAATCAGTTTCGGACAATTATAAAAACTGTGATATAAATTTCCATAATTATGAAATTCTGCGAACGATATAATAAACTGAAGGAAAAAGAAGAAGAACGCACCCCAATTATAAAGCCGATAAGTGGTAAAAAGGTGAGAGCCAAGAATGCAAGTGACAGCTCCTTTGGTGGTCTCTTCTCTGGTGCTCGGAAGATGTGAATTATTTCTTCTTTCGGCCCGTATCTCAAGTATGGGTCAGCAGGCTGTGGAGGAGGTTGCGCTGCCTTCTCAGGTGGTTCTGGCAAGTCCAGTTCAACAAAGCCAAGCGTCCGCAAGAAAGAATTTTCCTACAAAATTTGCATATAGAACATATGTCTAAATCCTCATTAAGCATGTCAGTCATGAATTCGAAAAGAAGTTTACCATTGTAGCATCACCAACAGTAAGTTCGATGTCATATTTTCCAGAGAGATAGTAAAATTTTTCCACCAAACCAAGAAAATCCTGCACGGATAAGTTGCATGACCAGTTAAGATTCCATAAGCAAAAAAAAGTGTAATAAAAGGATCCACCCGGATAGCGCTATTTGTAAAATATCTATAAATTATTATGAGAAAAATATTTTTTAAAAAATTACTGTAGATATTAAAAATTTTTAGCTTTCTCAAAAACCTGGATAGCAACGTTCTTACCGCAATCAGAGTTTATTAGAGATCTGATTGTAAGTGATATTTTTGAAAAGAAGGCAAAACAGATGGTGGAAATTGTCTGAAAAAACAAAACAGGAAAAAAGATCCAAAGGAATTAAGTAGAATGGTTGAGATAATCAGTTTCTCATATTTTCCATGCACCCTTAATCCCAAAATCAATTACAAAAAAAAAAATGGCGAACACAACACATGGATAACGGTAGGGGCATCGCTAGTGCAAACAACGTTAAAATGAAAAGATGCTTGGAGAAATGGATACTTAAAAAATGGCAATGAAAATCTCAACAGTAAAACGTCAGAAGTTACACGAATGAAAAAAAATCAACAGTATAATCTAGAAGTAACATGAATGCCATAAAGAAAACCAACATGCGCCAATCAAACTTCCAAAATCTAAATACACCAAAAAAAAGGGGAAGGGTGGTGAGAAGCATAACCAGTATTAGTTTATACTGCCTTGCTGAGCTATCAATTACAAAAAGGTGCTCCACTTTGGTTTCATGTCTCAATTTAAGAAAAACCTGCATTTAATTGGTTCTATGGTAAGTAAAGTTAACAGATAAATAGTAGTAACTAACAAGGATCACTAACTTGATGTGGCTTAAAAGTGTGTCCAAGAGGAGTGGTAAGCTGAAATGATAGACGAAACTTCTGCAGATGGTTTGCTGATAATGACAAAAAGCTGTCCTTTGATAAGTCTAATCTGCAAGTGGAAGAAGAAAAACCAGTCCATTAGAAGCACAAAAGGTGTGGCAAGTTCTTTCATAGGATCCTCAAAGAACTTATGCTTAAAGGGAAACCCAACTAACTAAAGGCATGAAACTTAAATACTCTTTTGGAAATTGACGTAAAAGGTTTTAGGAAAAAGTATCCGAACAAAGCTCTAACTATTTTATAAATTAACTACAGTAGATCACTAAATATATGGTATCTGAGGCTTTAATCATGTATAGATTTTATTTGTATGTCATAAATTACTATCAAACTTTAATTTGATAGATTCCAAAATAATTGTGAACAGTTAAGTGGTTTGGATTACATCTGTACATGACAATACATCAATCAATATACTTGCTCTAAGCTCTTTGTTTTATTTTGATTGTTGCTTAAACATTAACATTCTAACAATATCTTCATCTTCTTAATCACTAACCATGGCAAAAAGCCCTGAATCTCAAATCATAAAGCCATGTTGAATCACTTAAAAAAAACTCAGGTTAATATGAGATACGAAAATAGATCATTTTAGCATAAATTCAGTCATCCAGTAAAATAAGTGACAGGAACAGTTCTTCAGTACGAACATGAAAATATCGTAATTTATATACCATATAAGCTGACAGTTAAGTGTAGAAAATGAAAGGTAAGTTGAAAACATCTAGCCAACACAGGCATTGTTGTCACTATCATGGCCAAAAAAAGAATATCAAAGAAAATAATATCCTTTTCTCAGTTTCTCGTTTATTTCCGCTATTCTATTTTTTGTTTTTTTCCTGTGCTAGAGTGGAGGGTCTGTTGTTTAAGCATGGATGGTCTCTACACCCATCAAATTCTTCTTTGATTCTCACCTCTTACCATTTAATTGTTTAGGCGGTTAGTTTTTTCTTTTATTGTGACCAAGAGGCGTCCCATTTTTTTTTAAAATGGAGTGAAGGGCAATTTGGCATACATAGTCTTGCCATTCATAATATTCTTCTATGATCCTCTCCTCTAATTTATATGTTTGGGATGTCAGCTAAACTTTTAGTTTATTCTTTTAAGTTTAATAAACATACAAATAGTGTGTACCCGTGATTCTTCTCTCTTAAATTCTCATATTAATAATCTTTGATCATCATATATTATCCTTTTTCTTACTAACTCTCCTCCTAAAATTCTTTGATCCTGCAATATAAAGCAAATCAGAAATGGATGTTCTGTCTTATCTTCTAAAGTAGCTCCCTGTTCGCTCTTTTGATTCTTCCTCACAAGAACTAGAATTGAAACTGAAAAAAACAATAGGGGACCAAAAGAAAGAAAACAAGGGGAAAGTGTCTCAGCATTATCTCCTGCCTTTTTCCTGATGATGATATTTTACATATTGATAGTCTATTTGATGCAAGATTATTTTTTAAGAGTAATTTACAAGAGCCTTAATTTATATATAATTAAAAATAACACCATTGTAAAAGGGCACGATATATCAATTTAGACATGAGACAAAATAGCATGGGGAGGTCAATCCCCTCAAACCTCATTTAAATTTCATCACCACCCAAAACTTAACCAAAACTCCTTGAAGCCAAACTAAATCAGGTTTCTTGTATAATCATGTTTTGATATTTTGATCATAACTTTATCATTTTATATCTAATTCTTGCATATGAGTGATTGATTTTTATTAGCTCAATACAAAAGTTTTCCTGAATTCGATTATCTAGACCTCCAAAATTCCAACAATAAAAAAACTGAAATATATCACTCAAAATCATTCCACTCCCCTCCATAAATGCATCCGTTTTATCTTTTAAGAAAAAGACTTTAATGACTACTCAATCTCCCTTCGACATTCAATCAAAATCCTTTCCCATGACCATGTTTAGTCACCTCTTCGTATTCCCCTCAGCCATCTTGATTCATCGCATGTGTGAGTTTATACATACTCATGCAATAGTTATATTATTGTAGGATGAATAAATGAAATATATTTTCTAGAATAAAGTTTTTTTAACTTTGACAAAGGTATGTATTTTACTATGCTTGAAGATCTAATTTATGGTGATGAACTGCACATAAAAAGAAGATTCAACACCAAGATAGGATTCATAGTGAAGGACTATCCATGAATTCCACTTGTTCTAACACATTTGGAGAAAGCTTATGGAAATTATGGAGAAGACTAATATGATAAATGCAGTTTTTGAGGGTCACCTACATATCCTATGCTCTCTTTCTTGTTAATGTCTTTCTTTTTGCTAAAACAATGCAAGTTTGTTCATATTCATCCTACATTAGTTGGGCATTAGAGCAAATTTGTATACAATCGTGTTGTTTGATTTTGTTGCGTTAAGTTTAATTTTAAGAGATCTTACTGTATCTTCTTCTAACGCTTTGAAGCTTATTTAAGGGTACCAAATTCTTTAAAATTGAGAAAAAATATGTAGAAATATTTTTGTAGACTAGTTTGCAAGTCTTGATTTAAATGTAACTAAAGACAACATCAATGTAAAAAAACAAGTGTACGAATTGAGGCATGAGGCATACTGTCATAAGCGAGCCAATCCTCTTAAGCCTCATCAAATTTCATGATCACTCAAATCTTAACCAAATCTCCTCAAGGCTAAAAACACCCAACTTCTTGCATAATCATGTTTCGATATTTTGAACATAACTTTATTATTTTATATCTACTTTTTACGTATAAATATTAGTATTTCATCAACTTGACAAGATGTACAATTTTTCAGAAAAACGTTTTCCCAAATGCTATAATCTAGACCTCCGAAATTTTGAAGAAACTAAGAGGATGTTTGGCAACAAGTAGGATTTAACTTTAGTGGGATTTAGTAAATCCTATAAATCCATATTTAGTAAATCTTGAGAGTGTAAATCCTGGAAACTATTTGGTATGACATGTTAAATCTTGATAAATTCTAAAAAATTGTTTGGCAACATAATCCAAGATTTAAAACGGTTGGTTTATTTAAAAATTAAATTTAATGTGCTTTGAATTTAATATATTATAATGATAAATAATATAATTAGAAATTAGCTTAATTGTTATTAATAATTAAATTAATTATTTAGGTGTTAATTTTAAATTACATATTATAGTACTAATTATACTCTTAAATTCTAATTAATAAGTTAATTATTTTTTTAATTATAAATTATTTAACTAATACTCATAGTAAGGATTTAATTAATTATTTAAGTATTAAACTAATTTAATGATAATTATACTACTAATAACTATAATAACCAACAAATTACAAATATTAATTAAACTAATTTAATGAAAATTATGCTACTAATCATTTTTTTAAAATAAATTAAAGTACTTAATTATATAATTAATATAATTAATTATTAATATTTAAATTATATTAATAAGTAGGCCGTTTAGGGTTTGCTTTTCGCTTCGTCGGCTTTCCTAGTCTCCATTTCTTCGTGTCTTCTTTGGCTTCGCGTGTTGTGCGCACTTTGCACGACTGGAACTCACTCGCTACTTCGTCTCTCTGAAGGAGTCGGATCAGAATCCACAAATGGATCTTGTTTGCTGCGTAGGTAACCATCTTTGCATCTTCTTTCTTGCAAGACGGGGGCTAGCACGCTTTACAACCTCGTAAATCCCGTAGTCCCTAAATCGATAAATCCGCCGAATGACTATATTTAATAAATCCCGAATTTACGCCGTAAATCTATAAATCTATGATTTATGAGAGATTGGGATTTAGTACGAGCTTGAAAGCTGTTTGACGAATTTACCTAAATCCGACAAAAATCTTGTGACAAGTCCAATACCGAACAAGCCCTAAGTTAGCAAAAGTTGTGTTGGTGTAACCCAAACTATATAATTAAAATTTCATTTGGAATGACTTTATTATTATTTTTTAAAGCCGGTTTTTAATAAGAAATTAAAATTCTGTAACCCAGACTCTTTTAAGAATCAATAATAAAACCATCCAAACAGACCTAAATTCTCAATAAAACAGGCTATTAGTAAAGGCAGTGTTTTGTTTCACTTGTTACCATGCTATTCCGTCTTAGAAGAATCACCGAATCTGGGAAGGTGAACCTAACTGCACAATACCAGAGTTCGATCGAGGGAGAAGAAGGAAATCCTGCAATTCCAAGCGATGGCGTCTACGTGGGCAATATCTGAAGGTTTGTCTGAGAAAGAACGCCGGATTCTGGCGGCGTTCAGCACGACCGCGGCAGCCCTGTCTCTCGCGGGAATATTCTGAGTGATGCCTCAGTCCCCTATAACATTCAAAACAAAACCCTTCCCCCATGACAGGTCAACCAGCCTTGGTATTTCCCTAATGCGTATGGATTCATCATGTGTGAGTGTCTATATATAGTCTTGAAAAAACATTTATGTAAAGATGGATGAATATAATCTATTTTTAAGAAAATAATTCCTCTTTCTTTGGCAAGAAAATAAACTTTTTGTGCTTGAAGATATAATTCATAGTGATGGGCTCCAGGAAAAGGAGATTGAACACCAAGGGCAGATTCATGATGGACTATTTATGGATTCCTCTTATTTTATCACCTCTAAAGAAGGTTAGCTGAGATTGTGGAAAAAGGCCAACACAATGAAAAGCTGTTCGTGATAGTCATCTATACATCTTCGTTCCTTTTTTCTTGTCTTTGCTTTTGTAAGAAATATAGGTTCATTTTCATTTTATTCTTGCATCAATATTTCACATCAAATGTCATATGAAAATTTAAGAAGACAGCTCACGCTTAAAACCTCTAAGCAATTGATTTCATTCATCATGAACTTCATTATTAGCCTAGCCCAACTATTTTGGTTCAGTATATGAAGTCTAAAGTGATAATCATATTCTTGACAAGTCATTTTAAACTACTTTTATTCATATAGCCTTTGATCATTTTCATTCCTAATCATCTGACACTAAATGTATCAATCCGTTTAATTGGTGCATTCTACCATTCATTGTATCTTAACCAACTAAGAGGTTGTTTGGTTTGATGATATCTAGACAATATTAGTGTTTGTACTGTTAGATGTTATCATTAAATTTAAGGTAATTGAGAAAACAACAGTACCCAAAATTATGGGAATGTAAAAATGGCAAGAATATTGAGCACTATTTAGATTATCTCAATCTTGATGGCTAGATAAGTTTAAACTCACCGTTGATTATTCCACGTGGTAATGCATTAATTAAACAAGATAACATTGAACCAAATGCTTTGTATTTAATAGAAAACAATGTAATTTAAATAACATCATTTTTTAGACAAGCTATTACATAAACAATATCAAAAAAAGTAGCTCCTAAGTCTATTTTTAATCATCTAATCTTCAATAAATGTCACTCCAAATTTTCTCTAATATAATCATTTATTTATTTATCCTTCCTAATCTTGTCATGCATGAATCTGAACGTTCACATTCAACTTTAGATATTAAAACTTATTAACAATCCAACATTCAAATCCATATGATATTGCAGATTGAATTGTAATTTTATAAAAAAAAATTGTCAGGCTCCAAGATATCCTCATATCAAACAAAACTCCTAAAATCCACTTTAACCATCAAACATAAACTTTATAAGTTATATCATATGTATCTTCACTCTTTTGTATGATAGGTTCAGACACTAAATGTCTTGTGAAATAATAAACTGACATCAAAAGTGAAATAATGCCGATAAATTGAAAATGAAATTAGAAGAAATGAAACATTATAAACTCCTATATCAAGCAAAGGCAGTACACCTCATCTATGACAAACCAAATTTCTCTTAGGTACTTTTGTTAAGCTCGCTAACAAGCAATATCAATAAACAACTCATTCTGTGATTTACCAACATAATGATAATTTCAAGAGTCTATAGTATCATATATATCTCTCAACTTAACACCTGAAAGTCTTCCGGATCTAATTTAACAATCGTTTAGGCATATTTTTAAGATATCATTAGCAACTTTTGTTCATGTTCATGTCTTTGAAGAGATTAAGTCATTCAAACATTTCTCAATCATAAAATCACTTATAACTTTTATGCTTCACACTTATCCGTCCCTCTAAACTTTTATAACCACATCTCTTCAATATTAACTCTTTTTCCCTCTCTCAGGAAGGTTGGGGGTTCCGTTGATCTCTTCCAATGACGCACTAATTATAATACTACATAGCAGGTTCTTCGAAAAGCCCTTCCAACCCTACATGTTTTCAACTAACTAATTGTTAATGCTTTGAACTTTTCCTCACTTTTCTCTCTCTATCTTTTTACCACCTCCCTTCAACAGAAACCCTCTTCCCCTCTCTCAGAAAGGCTGGAGGTTCTGTTAAACTCTTCCAATGCTGCACTTGTTATGGCACTACATAACATGTTTTCTCTGAAAGCCCATTCAATTTTATATGTTCTCAACTAACTACTTGTCAATGATTTGAGAGAAAGATGAACCCACTTTTCAATTGTCTCGGCACTCCCACCATCGCTATTTAGAATTGCAAGTTCACCCTTGTCAATTTTGATTGACCCCGTGAAAAATGCAGAAAAACTTGTCAGTCCTCCAGTAGCATACTTGCTTTCATCCTCAAGATTGTGAAGAGAAACCTGTAGATTATGTAAAAACTCAGCTCGTCAAACACGAAGATAAAATCAAATAGACAAAAACGTGCATTTCCAGAACAAAAAAAATACCTCAAAAATCAATTTGTACTTGCCAGCATCCATTTTTAAAGATGCAATGTCCAAATAGTGAATGGAGTTTTCTTTGTCAAAGTGGAGCTCCTGCAATCCAAAACATTCAAAATTACTCACAGCGTAGGAATGATTCTTCATGATATTGGAACTTGGGAGTAATACGAGTGAAGCCAACCGAAACAGATGATTACATAAATAAAAAGACAACACGGATTGATGTGAAGAGTATAATAGAAAAAAGACAAATACAAGAAAAATTGATAATTGCACCATAAACAAGGAAGATTAGTTCAAAATTGAAACCTGGTTTTCAATAATGGGTTTTCCCTCTGAATTTGAATTGAAAGCCTGAACAAGTTTCACAGATAACGGAGGTGCAGCAGCACCAAATACTGTAGTCACATCAACCTGAAATGTACAAATGAAGGCTTATATCGAAAACTTCGTAAGTAAAGAACGAGAGATATCAGATATACATCAGTTGATAAAGCAGAAAATATTTAGATTTTACTTAGAGGGAAGCAGTTTATTTATTATCATAAAAAAAACGTGAGTTTAAGAAAATCAACTACCTTAGGAAACCAGATCAACTCTACAACCATGAAACAAGGCCTAGACTTAAAAATTACATCAATAACATACTAGTTATTATAGATCGGCATAGAACACAGCATTTGAACTCTGAAAAAAAAATAACCTATGCTTTGAAAATCCAAAGGCCCTGGGAAATTTTGAAATACAGAATTATACAATACATAAAGAATATGTCCGGCCAAGCATAGAAGTCAACATAATGGCCTATTTCTGCAGTAAACTTTAGAACATAAATGCCATAAGAGTCTCATAACGAGAAATTAAGGGAATATGGATTCGTTGCTCAGAATGTTCAGAGTGTTAGGGGGAGAGGATAAGGGCGAGGCACTGCATAAATCTAGTCATTTTGGAATGTTAATGATGCGGGCATCCGATCATGAAGATTTTCAAAGAAGGAGACGACGATCGACGGCCGAGATCATTCCACCTTATCTTAATTTGTTATTTGTAATTTTTATTTTTATTATGAATTTTCCCTTTTTACCCTTACTTAAGAGGGTCATCCTATGTAAGCCCTAGGGGCATATGTGTCTTGTTTTAGTTTCTTAGGCATATATATAGAGGCTCTTGCTTGTGTAATATAATGATGAATTAGTAAGAAAAGAAATTTTATTTGCACTTGTGTTCTTTGGAGAGAGCTTGGGTGAGATTCCTATGGGAGGAATTCATAGCTTCCACTAGTCGCAGGATGGGTCCGGCCTCGTGGACTGAAGTCCCTTGGTGAAGGGCAACGTAATACCCGTCAACTGTAGGATGTGTCCTGGCTCGCGGTTGTATCTTTCTTTCCCTAAATCCTTTTCTCCTCCTCCCTTGACAGTCGGCCACATAGTTTCCCCAACCTCCTACTTCATCCACGGCCACCCCTTCACCGCCGGCCACCCTTGGCTCCTCCCCCTTCACATGATCCATAACCTTCCTAAAATAGATTTCATAATTTTGGTAACGCTCTTCATGATCAAATTCTGAATTTGAAAGAGTTACTTAATTTACAAAATCCTATTTTAGGAAACTTACTAAAACGATTCCTATTTGAATTTTAAATTAAGAAGGGAGGAAATATTTCTTTCCAAACTTAGTTTATTAATTTAAGTAGGAATTAAATGCCTCATTAATTCCTCCCTCCCTCTCTATAGCCTCCGGCCCCCCTCATGAATGAGATTAGGAATTGTTTCCTAATACTCTCCTCTCCACTTTGGAAACAATTCAAATCTCTCCCACCTCCTTTGACCGAATTTATCCATAGTCCTTTCTAATTAATTTATTTCCAATAGGGAACCTCTCCAATTAGAAGTAAATTAATCCCCTTCTTCCTCTTTGCCACCAAAATTTGAATTCCCCTTTAATTACTTTCCTTTTATCAAATGATTTAAGTTACGAAAATATTTGATTTCAAATTCTAAGTAATTTTGAATTTGAAATACTTTCCTAAATTAAGATAGCCTATTTTAGGAAAGTTACTTAAATTAAATCTAATTAAGTTTCTAATTGAATTTGATTTGATTTAATTATTCCTAATATTTTGATCTCAATTAAAGCAAGAAATTCAAATTTCAAATATCCCCTTTTTTTCATACCCATTCTACATCAGTTATAGATTACAATATGGGTTTCATATAATGTGATTCACGATGATAGTCCATGTAGAGTAGCTCCTCAAGCATAGTTAGAAATAATTGAAAAGAAACAAAGGGATAAGGAAAAACTGCAAACCACAACATTTCCATGGCGCAAAAATTAATAAATCAACATAACATAATAACAACAATGTTAAGAAATAATACAGCAACAACGGAAAGCACAACCTTGAGTTGATCCCTTGATGTCAATGAAAGAACAGTGCCTGGAAGTGAGATGACAAGTGGAATGTAAATCCTGCAGAAGAAGAAAGAATAGCACAAATATAAGTGAAGAATCAAAAACAGCAGCGAGCACAACAAGAAAATAAATAGAAACGAACAAATGCATTGAGAGATACTTGCCTATTGTTTTCTAAGCATGATAGGGACTCAATCTGATGAAATAAGTCTTTGCTGCTTCCAGGAACCCCTATGCTGAGGAAAAATTTAGCCAAGCCCAAAATTTTGTTTCCTGGAATCTGTAATGCAAATTTCCAAAACAGCGCATGAGAAACAAAAAGACTAACATAATTGCAAGAAAGATGCCAAATATGCATTGGATATTTGCTCAATTTACATTTAGCTTCCCAGAAGAAACTTCAGCAAATGAAGTCACACCTCGCACTACTGCTGCTGAAATCTCCAGAGGGCTTTTGTAATCACTAGAGTGAACATATTTATCATTGAAGTATAAGGTACCATCATCTGCATTAAGCCAAGGGAATTTGATCAACTAGAAGAAAAACAATGTTCATAACAAGCAATTGAATAGCCTTATATCATGCACCACTTCACACAGAAAAATCCATCGCTAAGTTTGATTCAAAACTCTCGAAGAATCAAGTGGCCAACAATTGATGGCTTAAAATAGATGGAAGATTGCAAGGAGAATGTTATTGTAATAAACCTTACGCGCCATTTTGAAGTTTTTTTGGATTCAAAAATAAGTTCAGGGTACATTGTAGAAATACAGATCCTACTTCATACAAATAAATAATAATCACCTTAGATATCACAAGTTTATTTCTCATGAAAATTGATCTATGAAGTTATTTAGTATTAATTTTTAGCTTTTAATGTTTGGTTGTCCGCATATACAACATTATTAATATTTGAAGAGCATGAAGAACAAACAAAGTCAATCTTGGCTCCAATTGGTCTGGAGAATTAGGGGTAAAAAAAGGATTATTTATTTGCCTAATATGATAGTGTTCAAGAAAATTTGGCCTTTGTTGTTATGTCTTATACTTTTTTAATATTTAATATCTACTAATAAGTACATACAGCATGCTTAAAGCTTAAAGAGTCAGAACGGTCAGGAAATCACTGCTTTTGGTTTAATTTTTTTTCTAGTTTTTTTCATTCAAACCAAGTAAGGAAAAGCACTTTTCCAATTATTTCGCCTAAACCAAATAAGTTGACTAAAATATATTTCAAATTCAATTCGCTTGCCATTGCCATTTTTATTTCAATTTCCTTTTGCATCTCCCAATACAGTTGAATCAAACAGAATATGGGTGCTGAAACAAGAATTATATGCACAAACTATAAATTGATAGAGAAAATTTAAATACCATTAATTTCATACTTAGAATATTCAGGCATGATAAACAAAAGGATATAAAAATTTTCTTCATTAACCTGAAAAACATGCTTGTGAAACAAAGAAATCAAGGAATATAATAATTAGAAGTTCCACATTCAAATGAACCAGAAAAGTCTTAAAAAACATAGAAATGGGCAAAAGTATAAGAGAGGACAAAACCAATAACTAGCAAATTCATATAGCAGAAAAATCAAGAACGTAAAAAAGGCCTTGATTTTAATTAACAACTCACTTTCACCAGAATGGTAGGTCAAGGGTATCAGTACTTGCATTTATGATTGATTTAAGGGAAACTCTAGCTGTTTCCATCAGGTTACAGTGACAGACTTAAGTTTTTTAAATAAAACATGATTCCTAGGAACAGATATCATCAGAAAGACTAATAAAGAGAAAAATAGACTTACTGTAGCTTTTGATGATGTCAAACAGTTTGACAATGTCATTCTTGACAACTCCAATCTGTCACAATGGGTTAAAGGAAACAGTTAATATTAAATTCTACAAAATACAGAAAATGATCCGCCATTCTGTGCTAGTTCAACGATAATTGGAAAACCATTAAAGAATGCTTTACAAGAGAACAATGACCTAACATATGGATTGATGAACTTACAACACGTGTGCTAAGCATAGTGCAATTCACATAGTACATAAATAATAAACTCCAACAGCCAAGACAGAAAAAGGGAAGAAATTAACAATTTGAAGTCAAGCATGGATCAGTTCAACAATAATTGAAATATCATGCAACCGAAACATTTAGACTTTCAAACTAGTTAAACAGTCATGCTTACCATGGACTGGTCCACCTCAGAATCAGCCAAGAAAACAATTCCAGCAAGTGCTTCAAGTGCCATTCCTGCCAAAATTCACAAGGATCAAATACAATATTTAGTACAGAAAAATATGCATGGATGGGAGTGTTTCCTTCCAGAGTACAAAAACCCTTCACCTCTTAAAACAAACAATAACCAGCTGGCCAAAAAATCTTGGAAGCAATCATGTGAAGCCCACAAGTAAATCGTAACCGGAGATAAATCATGTGAAATTTTAAGACAATAGGTAAATCTATTCAGAACTTTTGATCACCCTCACCCCTTACCACTCCAAAGAAACTCACTAAAAGGACCAAAACCTTATGGACAAAAATGAAATAAATACATGAGCAGCAAAGCATGCACATATGCGGAATGCTTCATTCCATTAACCTAAACATTACTCTCCTCCTAAAAAATTAACCCTAAATAGCTAACCAAGAAAAACTATCATGTCTTTTTAAAACCATGGAGAAATTATCAAGATCATTTTATAAAAATTCCAAAACAAACTCCCCAAAACTGTTCAACATTCTGCAGCATTCTCCATGCTTCTAAGTTCTAGAAGTGCCTTGTTGAAGAATTTCTAAATGTGCCTGCCCATCTATATCCTCAAACCACAAGCGTGTTGGCCTATGCATTAAAAACCAAAAATTCTTTAGAGAAGATTCAAAACCTTGACCTCCACTAACAATTGCCCAAGTGAGAAAAAGAAAATCATAATTATATAGAATCACTAAATGCATCGTAAATGCACATGGGAAAAAAATAACAGTGAATAACTTTAGTGGAATTTCCATGGCTGATGTAATTGATACCAGCAGCATAGGTGCTAGACTCAGCACCATTAGAATCATAGCGCCATCTACCATCACTCTGACTAAGTGCCTGCCAGTAAAATGAACCATCATAACGATGGCACAAAGTTAGCAAGTTAGCCAAAGCATCTGCCAGAAGCATCAAGCCATACTAAAAAAATATCCAAACCAACCCACCTTTATGGAATGAAATGCACCATCAGAATCTGGTAAAATAACTTTAAAACCATGTTTCTGCGCCAAATTATCAATAAAATAAGGTTTCTTCTACTGCAAGGTTTGAACTTTATAACATGTAATGTAACGAGTTAGGAAAAGTGCAAAAAGACAGACAAGATTCAACCAATTAAAAAAAAAAATGTGAAAACCCTAGAGTAACAACTCATTGCAGTTCACAATGCAGAAATATCAAAAGCGATTGATTAGAAACTTCAATTATATCTATGAACTTTTACCTTAATAAGAAGAAGACTTCCAATGGAGTAATAGAAATCTGGTAATGAATTGGCATTTTTTAACACAGCCAGCATATTTGATGCAATGCCCTGATAGAAAGTATAATAATGAGGATATTTATGATACATTACTTTGTCAATAATAATAATGATAATAAAGGGCTGGTAGTTAAAAGCGCTCACTTCAAAATTTATGGCCTCAATCTGGCATTTCAGTATACCATTCACTTTCAATGCATAAAACAAGTCTTTTGTTGTAGAAGGTGATGACCCCAGCGTCTCTAGAACAGCTTTGCATGTTGCCCGACTTATATCATAAGTTTTTTCTAGTCCAAGGATCTCAAGTGTTCTTAGTGCCTCATAAGTGTTCTCTAAGCTGCAGCAAGCAAAAAATATGACACTTTCCAAAGCTTGCTTAGAAATTCAAAGCAACTTACATAATAGATCATACAGATAATTATATGCTCAAATTTATAGGATTCAAAATTAACATAATTAACAGACTATAGATCGCATAACTTCACAAGAAAGAAAAGTTTGCTTCAAACGAGCCATCCTTACTCAAGAAACCAAGGTTAAAATGCAAATCAAGAGAAACATGGAATTCTCCGGCATTTAAAAATCTGATCAAACATCGAGTAAAAGAGTAGTGTCTTATTAACGGCACCATTCCTCTCATCACTAACCTTCCAAACGATTCATCGACGGGTACGAACAGTTCTAGAGCAGCAGATCGGTGGGAATCAGAAATCGGCCGAACGATGGAGGCGGTGCAGATGGACAATGATGAATAGAAGATCGCCAATAACGCCAGGATCCATCGATATCTCGACATGCCAGCAAGATCGATGATCCGAAGGAATTGAAACAATAAATGCATCGGGATCGCGATCTGGAACTGGAAAATTGGAGAAATCCTACGGTGTTGGATTCCAAGTCACCTTCAGTTTTCTACTCCCACCATGTACTCTTCTAGGGTTTATGGAAGTTCACAGAGCGATCCACTTCTGCGGTATCCGCAGGCGACGACGAAATTAAAACATTCGAATTAGTGTGGACTCTGTTCCTTGCGGGTCGAGTTCAGGTGGATCGATACCTTGAACGAAGCGTAACGTTTAGTACCGGATTGACCCGAAAATTAACATATAACCCAACATGCACCCGTAGCACATTTAACTAGGGGAGCATAATTCGGTTTGGTCTGATCAATAATATTAATTCTCAAAAGTGCCTAATAAAATCATCATATTTTTAAATAAAATTTAAACTTTCAAATTTAATTGATTTAGATTTGACGAGTAAATTTTTTTCAGTATTAATTATGCAACAAAATATATTTAGAAAATTTTATTCTAAGTTAAGTCAATTCGATTCAAGATGAATCAGATTAATTTAATGTACGTGATCTTAAACTCATCGGTCTACTAGAAAATGTAACTCAAGCAAGTGACAATGATACAAGAACTTCTCCCTATCAATAAGTAAAACTCATAAGTCGAATCTAGCGACTACTATTTATAAAGTCGGCCTTAGTGACTGTTCAAAGAAAGACAACTTCTCAAGACAAACTATTGATCGGCAACTCAACTACTCAACAATCAATGCATGCTAAGTTGCCAACTTCTTAAGACCTTAGCAAACGACTACAACAATTTATATCTTCTAATCAAGCTACACTATTATTATATTTTCTCTTATTTTTCATATATATAGCTATATATATAGCCTATTTTATAAGATCCTTGCGCCAATCTAAATCTATAAATAGGGGGTCAAGCGATAATCTCAATTTATCTATTTTTTATAGAATTAATCATATTTTACAAATACCTAGAGCTTCTTCTAGAATTCATCTTTCTCTCTCTACTTTGAAGCTTCTTACTCTATAAATTTTTTCTCTCTCACTTTGATATTCTCATTTTCACCAATAATTATTAGTATAGTTAAGTGTTATTCACAAAATCTTCTGAATTCCACAACTTAAAAGGTGAAATGAAAATAGATCGTATCAATAATTAATTGGAAGATGAGTACTACGTGAAGCAGCATAACATTAAAGAGGTGAAGAAGAATATATTAACAAGGAGAACTAGAATTCATGTTTGTTCGTCAATGTGCTGAATTTGACAAGAGAATAATATGACTGATCTTGAAAATATTGATGAAAATGTTGAGATCCGCTCCTACAGTGGAAATGCCTAAGGAATCCTTTGATTATGTGGTGAGTAGAATAAAAATTTCTAGAGCTAGACCCTTGACCTCTTCTCTAATTGCTGATAGAGACATATAACCATGACAGTGAGGAGTTAACTTCGACTCTTCATCGCGAGAAAAGGAGAATTGTGAAGAGGTCTCCACTAGTTAATGCCTTCTCAAGGGAGATTGTTGAGACCAATCCTTAGCATTGGCAAAGTACAAAATACCTCATCTTGATTCATATAAGGAAGGATGAATCCCTACCGCTTACTTTGAGTCGACTATTTCACTTATTGATATTAGAACCACATTAAAGTGTAGGTTATTCTTCACTAGCTTCAAGGAATCACCACTATGGTTGCTCTTATGACACCACTCATCATCATCAACTCTTTTGCCAAGTTCAAGGTGAAGCTTATAATATAATTTAGCAGCACATAAAGGCTATTGAAAAGCTCTCAAGTCTTACTACAAGATGAGGCAAGAATAAAGTGAATCACTAAGGAGTTTCATCACTTGATTTTAGAAGAAGATACTTGACATGTAAGATCTAAAGTCGATCGTCACCCAAGCCACTCTCTTCCAAAGTCTGTGCGAAGGACAATTCTTATATGCTCTCGGCCTACAACAATTGAGGCATTTGGCCAAGTTACTCAAACACGTCAATAGTCATATAAAAGATGAATACAATATGGAGACTAACACCTCTAATGTGGCTAAAAGAAATGTTATAATCCATCTAGGTTGAAAATTCTGGCAATTTTCAAAGGACCAGAGAAGTCACTCATGTGACTCCTAGAATCTAATAGAAGGATTAGATTTAAACCTATAATTAAATAACTCATCTACCAATAATAAACAACTAGAGCTACTAACTTTTCACATAGAAAAGCAGGAAAATCAACTTTCATTTGACACATAAATACATAATCAAGATCATATAAGTCTATACCTTGTACAAGTAAAAGATGGATTATAAAATGTACATTGCTAACTCATATCCAAAATCCTACCTCTTTCTTATTTACTCAGCAGGATATTTATCTTTTCTTAAAATAATAAAAGAAACAGAGTAAGCTTATCTAACTCAGTAGACTCCCTCCTTTACCCCTCATAAGTATTAGTATCAAATATAATATTTAAGAGCATTCAATAAAAAAAAACATAAATATTATGAAATAATTAAAGTATAAACAAAACCTGATTTTACCAAAATTCTACTATATACCTGACCTTAGAGCTAACACTTCTACTTTTATAATCACCAACCACTTCCATAGAAGTTTCCAGATGCTCTACCAAATACTTATTTTTAGAGATTCATTTGTATATCACTTTTACTTTTATTTTCCCCATATAATTCATACAAAGGATCAGAGTTTACTAATGCATATTTTAGAGTTTTTCATAAACGTAATTTATTAAATTATTAACATATAAATTGTACTGATCAGAATGCACATGTTTTGATGCCTACTTAATTCAATAAGCTTATCTAGCTCGGTAGACTCCCTCTTTTATCCCTCACAAGTATTAGAATCAATTATAATATTTAAGAGCATTTAATAAAAATAAAACATAAAAATTATGAAATAACTAAATTATAAACAAAATCAGAATTTACCAAAGCTCCACTATATACCTGACCTTATAGCTAGCACTTATACTTTTATAATCACACAACCACTTCCATAGAAGTCTCTAGATGCCATACACAATACTTAGTCCCCACATAATTCTTATAGAGGTTCAGAGTTTACTAATGGATATTTTAGAGTTTTCCATAAACTTTTTTTTTTCAATTTTCCATAAACTTAATTCATTAAAATATTAACATATAAATTGTAATGATCAGAATGCACATATTTTGATGCCTAATTATATCTCCACTTTCACTTATGCCTCCATTTACATCCTACACATGCATATAAAGTGGGGCTAGAATCCCTCCCATATATGTATTAGGTAGATGGCACCAGAAGAGTGTTCATATTGTTACTTTACCTCTCACTCATGCAGAATCCCTTCCATATTAGCATCAGGTAGATATATGGGCCAGAAAAGTACATTTTGGGCCCATGTAACATAACAAAGATTGCACTTTTTCATCTTTCAGAGCATAACGTTTCCAATGCCATGTAATGCAAAAATGCAATGCACTGTAATAGTAAATAGATTAAGCATTTAATGTAATCTTCAAATGATGTGAGAATTGCTAAAAAATATCACAGTACTTGTAAAAAAAACCTAATCAATAAACTTTTCATTTTTAATATCAAACTTCAGAGGAATATTCACATGAATATTTCAATATTTTTTATACAACTACTTATTTGTCAGGAAAGCCTCAATTAAATAGTATCTTCAGAAAATTAAGAGGAAAAAAGCCAACTATTAAAACTCAATTTCATATAGTCAAAATGTCCACATTAAGGTGTGTAATAATGCATTAAAAATCACACGATGGAAACCTCATAAAACCTAAAAAATAATATTTTTATTCTTATATTTGTATAGACTTGTTAAGAAAAAAATATTGGTATAGACTTGTTGAAATTAAAATTAGAGATAAGGGTTTAGGAATCTACCTTGAGCTCTACAATTCTCTGAATTGGCATGGTGAACAAATCTGAAGTATTGGCCTTCAAACTCTCTCTCCCTTTCCCTTTCTTTTTTCTCCTCCTCTTCATCTCCTTTCTTTGTTACAAATCTGGACTCAAGTCTTATGATTTTAATGATAACAAATATTATTGGATTCTCTACTATGTTGTCTCCTATTATTATTATTATTATTGCATACTTGTTCTGCTTGTGCACTAACATTTCAGGTCCATCGTACACCGCATAAAGTGATCAGCTCAAAACTGGGTAGAATAGGATTAAGTGTCTTTAAGAGTTTGTATCTCTATTTTTATTTATTTCTACATTTCTTGAGTCAAAGTCAAGTACTTGGTGAATGCTAAACTTGGTGATATGCACACACACACTTATGGGAGTGAGATAGTGAGAAAATTAGAAGTGTAATTTATATGAACAAATCGGACTGTATGATTTATATCGTACTGCGCAATTAGCTATTCGAAAAATCATTATAACGACTAATTGCATAATTAAAGTTATTTGAACTCATCGTATTGTACAATCAATATCATTTTGATATATTTAAATATTTCTAATTTTTAATAGTGTATATTCATGCTTAATTTGCTTTCCAATTTCATTTAATTATTCATATATTGATTGCTATTTCGTTTATTATATTTATTATTATTATTATTTTATTTTTTAAATTATTTATTTATTATTAATATGGTAAAATTGAATTGATAAGATAGAATGATTTTTACTATTATTGTATTCTGGTTAACTTACATATTTTACTATATTGATTAAATTATGGATTAATTAGTTACGTATATAGTATCTTTATTTAATTTAAAAAAATCATATTTTAGCTTGTATAATTTTTTTCTTTACTATTAAAGCATGATTTAACTTATTAATTGGTTAACCCTTATTTACAAACTATTTCGGGATGTGCACTAACTTCATTTAACCAATTCTAAACGGTCCTAAAGCAAATGCAAATGTCAAACATGCCATCAATGGGATCGGGTTGTAACTAACAAAATAATAGTATACAAATTAATTTTAAGTGTAAACTAAATAGTAAAATAAAAATACGAGTTTCTACAATGCCATAAGGTTGGAAAAACGTACAAGTACATTACATGGCTTATAAGATTTAGGGTTCTCTAAATTTTAGAATACTTATCTATACAAGAGCCGGTGCCCGGTGATATATATCCGGCCATAGCACCTTTATTAA